CCCGAGCTCGCCGCCCTCCCGGGTCACCCGCTCCCCGGCCCCAGCCCGGCGGTGCTGCTCAGGGGGACACACGGAATAGCAGAGGGGCCCGGGAGCCGCCGGGCTCCTCGTGCCCTGCCCGCCTTTGGAGTGGAGCTGCCAGCCGTGGCGGGGCGGGTGGTCTCGGGCTCCCACGCTGCCCCCGGCTTTGGCTGTGGCGGGAAAGCTCTGTTGGTGACCAGGTGACAGGGACAGGGTGACAGGGATGCCGCCCCACGAGCAATAAAGGCCATTTGGGGGCGGAACAGCAGCTGGTTGTCTGTCCTGTGCCACCACATTTTCCACGGGGCAATACTCCGTCACTCGGGATTTACCCTGAAAGATCCAGCCGTATTCGAAGACTAGCCCAGSCCTCTTAATTGCCACATAATGATGTCACAGCCCTTAGGAAGTTCCCCATTGGCACCAAAGGGGATCCGGTTCTTGTGCAGGTTGAAGTTTCCTTGCTTGATTTTTTATCTCGGAGCTGGAACCCAAAGCAGAAAGAGAAAACCCTCTGTGATGACCAGGCTCACGACAAGAGCCTTCCCTCGAGCGGGAGAGGTGCCAGAGGTCCCCGCGCTGCTCGCTGTCCCTCTGCATTCCTCTATTCCAGTAGCGCGTGCCCAGCTGCACAAAGTCCCTCCGCAGCTCTGCAGGGGCTGGATCTGCCGCGGCTGCTTTGCTGCGGTGGGAGCCAGCGCGGGGTCGGGGGGAAGCGGAGAGCAGCCGGAGGCCGAGGCTGATAACCCGGGGCAGTGCGGAGGACCGCGCGGCGCTGAAGGCTTTAGCAGAGCCCAGGCTGCCCAAACAGCCCTTCTTCTGCCGGGAGGTGATTCTCGGGGGGGATCAGAAGCTCCTGTGTGCAAGGAAGGGGCACGGCAGGGGCAGCTGCCTGGGGAAGAGCCTCGCGGTGGCCTGGTCGCTGTCCCTGGCAAAGGGGTGGTGGCAGCGCCGGGGCAGAGCCCCGGGGTCAGGCCAAGGTAGACCAGGGCAGGCAGCAGAAGCGCGGCCATGGACACGGACACGGACACGGACACGGCCACGGACACGGACACGGACACGGACACGGACACGGACATGGACACGGCCATGGACACAGACACGGCCATGGACACGGACATGGCCATGGACACGGACACGGCCACGGACACGGCCATGGACACGGCCATGGACACGGACACGGCCATGGACACGGACATGGCCATGGACACGGCCATGGACACGGCCATGGACACGGACATGGACACGGACATGGCCATGGACACGGACATGGCCATGGACACGGACACGGCCACGGACACGGCCATGGACACGGACACGGACATGGCCATGGACACGGCCATGGACACGGCTGTGGACAGGGACCCCGGCACGGGTACACGCGGCGGTGGCAACGCCTCCCAGCGACCACATTTGCATAGAGGCGGGGCCTCATGGACATTTGCATAGAGGCAGGGCGGGGCCCACGCAAATATTTGCGTAGAGGGGAGGTGATTCGGTGCTCATTTGCATAGAGGTGGGGCGGGGCTATGTCTTCATTTGCATAGGGAAGAGGCGTGTCATCTGGGCTCTTTTGCATGGGGCGGGACCACGGTGATATTTGCATGCGAGGCGAGAGGAAGTTGCAGGGTGGGGCTTTGGTGTTCTCGCGAGAACGCCGGCTCGTGGGGGGCGGCACGGAGGCGGAGCTCCGGTCTTCTCGCGAGAACGCCGAGGGGGCGGGGCGCCGCTCTCGCGAGAGGCGGCGGAGCAGGGCGGAGCGGAGGCGGCCATGGCCGCG